GTCAAGCTGGGTGTGATTTCCCTCTCCATTTTCCATGAGATCTGTGGGTTTTTGCTACTACTGAGGGTACCTGCTAGTTATAGGCATGCTGAAATAAGCTCTGGCAACATAAGTGGTTTCTGTGAAAGGTATGTCCATCCTTGAAAAGCCTTCCAGAGCAGCCTGTAGGAGTTTGATTCAGATACTGTGTTTCATTTGGGAAAGTCTCTTGTTAAGATGTCTGATCTTTATTTTCTGCTGTCTTCTCAAGCATAAACATGCTGATAGTTACCTCAGTATGAGAGTATTTAGAGATGGGTGCTTGGAGGAGAAGGAAGTGTTGTACCTTTGAGATGTGCTATACCTACCTGTGTTTGTAACCAGGCAGTGTCATCCTCACAGAATTTTTTCTAAGTAGCATTGTTGCTTTAAGAGGAAAATGAAGAAGGAGCATGTGCTGCTCATTTATGACTCAGCTTGTTACAGAATAACTATGCATACTGAAAAGATGAAGGGAAAAAAAAATACAACCAAAAAAAAACCGCAGTAGGACATGCTATTCTAAAAGTGTTAAATGCAGTATGAACATGCATGGTATGGGGAGGAACTACTTTCTAGGTTTGGATATAAAAAAGCTATGAAAATATTTTCAGTACCTTACATTATTAACATAAATGAAGATTAAATCTGGCTTTCTGTATCAACAAATATGCTTTTCCTTCAGAAAGCTTGATGGGTGATGGTAAGCTGTAACTCGCTTGTTGGCAAAGAGTGCTGAATTCCAGATAGTATGTCCCTAAATGTAGGCAGTGCTTTGCCTTTCTGGGTTAGGTGAGCCTGATGACCAATAGCTGTCACAGCTTCAATTTGTTATGCTAATGTTATTGCAGTCTGTGTCCTTGTCTTCTCATTCCTAAGCTACTATGAACCACTAATGAGTATTATAAGTGCGTTCCTGTGAAGATTAGCTGACATATCTTCTTGGAGCCATTAGGAAAGCTGCATTCACTTTGGACTGTTTGAAGTTCATAGCTTTGACCTTCAGAAATATAGTGCTTTTAATTTCAGACTTGTGCTTCCAGCTGGGCTCACTGTATGAAAGTGTTAATTCTGTGTTTGTTTACATCTGTGTGGGAGGGGTATGGAACTGTAGCAAAAATCAGGTGAAAAGGAGTGGGAAGGACTGCAAGGACTTCTCCTGATCATCTTTTGGAAAAATCTCTACCTGAAAAGCTTCTGCAGACTTTCTGAAACTTTCTTTGAGTGTTGGAAAGCATTGCTGGTTCTTTAACCCTTTATTTTACTAACAACTCTTTAAATTCCTGTTTTTCCGTCTAAATTTGGTTACTATGCATAGCAGAAGTGTAACAGTGAAAACTTTTGTTACCTGCTTTCTTCAACTGTATTCACTGTATTAAAGTGTCAGATACTGCTGGGTAAACACATGGGAATTCAGATCTTTCTTTTTAAAAGTGAAATAGAACTGTGTAAACAAGCTATTCTGATTTCTTGTTTCTTCATGTCCTTGTAGCATAATTAGAAGAAACTTCTGCTCAGGACCTGAAATCATTCTTGTTGTATCTGTATGATGTTGAATACATTTCTGTGGGCTGGCCAGTTTTAATAGATAGATAGTAGATTCAATTTAGAAATGTAACAAAATGTGGACAAAACTTAAACTAGACACCTGTGCTATTACAGTATCAGACTCCATTGGTTTATGTAGCAAGGTTTTGGGAGTGGGGGGCTGCAAGGGTGGCTGCTGTGAGCAGAGCGCAGAAGCTGCCCCATGTGAATTAAAACGCAGCTTCATCTGGCTCCAAAAGGAACAAGCTGCTGGCCAGAGCTGAGCCATGAGCAAAATGCTCGTTGTGCCCCTGGGAGAGCAGATTTAAGAAAGGGGAAAAAAAAAAAAAAAAAAAAAAAAGCTGAGAAACTGCAGTTGGGAAGGAAAAGTGAGAAAATGGAGAGAAACAGTCCTTCAGGCACTGAAGTCAGTGTAGAAGGAGGGCAGGAGGTGCTCCAGGCACAGAGCAGCTCTTCCCTGCAGTCCAAGAGAGGCCCACGGTGGAGCAGGCTGCATCCCAGCCCACGGGCACTACATGGAGCAGATCTCCATGTGCAGCCCATGGAGGAGTAGAAGAGGATGAGTGGGAGGAAGGTGTCTTTAGTTTGTAGATTTCACTGCTCTAGGCAGTAAATTATTGGATATCTCCCTAGGTTGAATCTGTTCTGCCCATAATGGTTACTGGGCAGTGATCTTGTCTCTACCTCAACCTCAGTGCCCTTTTTCTCCTCTTCTTTCTTCAGGGAGATGAAGTGTGATGGAGCTTAGCTGCATGTATAGGTAAAACCACCACACAGACTGAATAGCTTTCTTATCAAAGCTTTTGGTGACTTTAAAGTCAGTGGTGACTGCTTACGCTTCTGAAATTCGGGGATCCAAGTTTTTCTCTCCATTTGAATGTGGAATCTTTCAGTGTGTTATCTGTATTCTCAGTCCCATTTGTAGAGAGAGGTGCACATTCTATAAGCTGCTAGTGTAGTCCTGCTTCCTCTTTGTGGTGTTCAAATTCCTATACAGCTGTGGTTTTAGGTCCACTGAGACTTGTAGTTGTTCCTTTCACCCATGTTAAGCTCTCCAGAGCTGGGGAAGGTGATGTTTCTGAGATTATGTGGTCATTGTTCTTTTAAAGACTAAATGTTTTGACACAAGTTTCTGCAGCATAACTTGCCCAAGTATGCTGACTTTAGAGATGATATTTTGAGATCTACTAGTGTAGCAGAAGGGGAAGGATGCTTTTCAGATACCTGCTATAAAGGTTTGCAACTCATGGTGTATCACCGTTGTGGCAAACTGTAGCAAATGCAGGTACTGAATCATTGGTATCATTATAGGACTGTGCATATCTTCGGGTATCCTTCTCAAAGTGCTGGTAAGGTTCCAATGTTTGTAAGATTGTGAGATCTCTGAGATATTAATACCTGGTTGAACAGCTTTAGTTTGTGGCATTCTGACTACTTCAGAGACTTAGGTTGAGAAGTTGAAAGTAAGTATGCAAAAAGCATGGCTTGAGGGCCCATTATGAAGTGTGTCACAGGATAGCTGATTGAAAATGTTACTACTGTACTCTGAGATGTTGTGATCAGAATTAAAAAGAAGACTAGTTTAAGCTATTATGTTTCAAAATTCAGTATGTAGGTTACCTGATTGCTAATGGTTTTGGTTCCTTATCGAATCTGTAAGTTAATTTGAAGGTGTTCTGTGCCTATTGTGATCTTTCCTGCTTGCAGAGTGTTCTCCCGTATTACGTGGCAACAAAACTGTCCAAAATCCGCAAGCCAACCTTCAGTAAGCCCAGTCCTGAAACATTCGTGCGAGCTGCCATAGCCACAGTAGGCCTGCAGTCCCAGACCAACGGGTGCCTGCCCCATGCCGTCATGGTAAGTTACCTTGGGAGGCACAAGAATCTAATATGTTCTATCTGCCTGATAGAACAGCAGTTTAGAATAGTAAAGAACAAAAATGAATTTTATTTAACTTTTAATCATAATTTTATTAAGTTCACGTGTGCTGGTAATGGTTTGATTTAGCCTTGTACAGTCTGTAAAAACGGAGCTTTTTTTCCTTTGATTTCTAGGCCTGGATCTTCTCTATTCTACCTACACCTGCTGCTAAGAGTTTAGTCATGAAGACAAACAAACAAGTACGGGCTCGTTTTTTGAAGAAGCTGAAGGAGAAGTAAATAGCAGGCAGCTAGATCTTGGAAGCCTGGAACTCCTGCAGGTTCCATGCCTGCATCTCAGCACCGTGTAGACCTAATGTTTTAAACATCTGCAGTTGTAAGTGTGCTTTCTAATAAGCAAAACGGCAAGTTCTTGACTTCTAATACTGATTTCAAAATAGGCTTTATTTGTTTATAGGTTTTTTTATTGAGTTGGGAAGTGTTTTGGACTAAAATTACGCTGTGCTTTAAGAAATACTTAAACAGACTTGATCAGACACTGCACTGCTGAAGAACAGCTTGGTTATATAGCATCCATCACATCTGCGTCTCATGATTTTGGGTGACAGGCAGAAGAATAGTAGTTCTGACATATTCAGAGGTAGGGATGTGTGGGAAAGGGAGTATATTTCTTTGAAAAGGAAACCTGGTTCTATTCAGAGTGTAACTTTTCCCAGCTTCAGTTTAGGATACTTGCAAGGATTCAGCATTGTCAGCCAGCTAGCAAGTGCTCCCCTGCCATGTGGCCTAGTCAAAGGAACTGGGGCACCATGGCAGGGAGGGACAGACTCGGGCTATGTCAAAGTCATCTCTCTGTAAAACAAGAGTACCTCCACTTCAGACTTCTGTGTTTGCACGGTCTGTGTAACTTAGAAAGGATCACCACTTGGGAAGGATGATCACAAAATGGTCCTTAACCTGATGTTTTCAGAAGTCTGCTCATGGATTGGTACTGTCTTGAAATGGATTCTTGCACTAAAACCTGAGCGGTCATTTATGTGAACTTCAAGGGTTCAGTGTGACTTCTGGTTATGAATTTGAGGGAAGTGGTCCAAAAAAAACCCCAACAAACCCAAATGAGTGTGATTGCTCATCTATAAATATATACGTAAAATAACATTTCAGTAAGTACTTAAATTCTTGCTTCTTGAATATGAAGGCAACTCTTCAGTTGTATGTAGCTTCGATTCATAACGTTTTTAAAAGTTCAGTGTCTGCTGTCTGTAATAGAGGATGATAGCACAATGTGGCTATATGTCATGAGTTATGTGTTACTTGCTGGTTGCTCTCTAAGAGACTACTGGCACTTTAAATGCAGAGCTTGAAGTGAGTTACTCTCCTTTAGCACTGATGGATACATTTTTTCTGCGTTACATCAGTCTGTCTTTTGGTGAGGCCATTCAGAATGTGATTCCTGACTTATTTACAAATGAGAACCAGTAAACTACTTTAAACGTGGAACTTTTCTGTTTTCAATTTAACTGATTTGTTCTATAGAAGTTATCCAACTCCGAGATGGGTCAGAGTACACGAGAGGTCTGCACTGCTGTTGTCTATTACCTGATCTCTAAAGATGTGGTCGCTAACATTCCTTTCTGTAAGTGTGAAATGCACCAGAACTTCCAAGCCAAATTAAATGGCAAGTGGTACCAGTGTTTTCTGTGGTGAGTGGCTCCAGGTTGGTTTTGGTCCCTGAGGAACAGTTCCAAGCTCTGGTTTTGAAGTGTTGCACTGAGACACGATTTGGGGCTGACATTCCTGTACAGTGGAAAAGACCCGAATACCGATGCAATGGTGCTGATCAGATCTGAGCTGAAGATCCTGTCACTTGGTTTCTTCATTACTACTTTTTTAGAACAGCGATGGAGAGGCTGGTGGTACCAGTTTTGTAAGCCTGGATGTGACGTGGAAGCATTGGACTAACTGATCTGTGTGGGTTTTTCACTTGGTCAAACAAATAAAATGGCATTCACACTCAATCTTTGGCGTGTCGGTTTCCTTCTTAAAACGCATCGCTGAAGCAGCGCGATGAGCCCTTAACCGGAGCTGCTCAGTTACGTCCCCGCACGGCCGCGCTGCGCCGAGCCGCAGCCCTGCAGGCTCCGCTGCAGCCACCAGAGGGGGACAGGAGCTCGGCCACGCGGCTCAGCTCCGGGCGGAGGAGCGGCTCGGGGAGGAGCGCGGGGAGGGGCCGTGCCGTGCCGTGCCGGCGGCGCCATGGCGGAGAGGCGGCGGCGGGCCCGCGTGCAGGGCGGCTGGGCCGGCGGGGCGGAGGGGCGACTGGCAGGCAAGGCGGGGCGGCGGCTGGGGCCGGCGGGCAGAGCCGGGGGCGGCGGCCGCGCTCGGGGCCGAGCAGCGGAGCCGTTGTTCGGCAGGGCTCCCTTCTTCCGGTGCCCGAAGGAGGGCTCCTGAGCGCCTGCGAGGAGAAGCGCTGCGATTTCCGTGCGTTGGAGCGCGGCTTCACGTGCTTTGTTTTGCCCTTTGCTGCAGCACCGAAGGCGCCCGAGGCCGGCAGCCGTTCCCCCGCGGGCGGCGGGCAGGCGTGGGGGAGGAGAGATCGGCTCCGCTCTCAGGAGCGGTTTGTCTTTGAAAAGCCGTCAGAGGTAAAAGCGAAGCGGCTTCTAGCGGGCTATCAAGCTTTCTGAAACTTTCAGTAATAAGCGAAAAACTGCGGGCTTTGAGATTGTGGTCTCACGTTTGAAAAGAAACGAAAAGCCGAGCTGAACTTCTGATGTTTACCAAGCAGAGTTTGAAATCGTGTGGCCCGTCCGTTTGGCTTCAGTCTAGGCAGGAATACCATGCAGTCATCTTGGAGGTGCTCTGAGAGGGTTCTCTTTCTCCAGGCAGAGCCCTGGCTCCTCCGTAGTGCTGTGTGCTGCTGTCAGAACCACGTCGTGTCTCAGCGCTGAGCTCAGGGAAGAGAAGCGTACATCCCTGGGGCAGCCAGAGTGCTCATCTTTAAGAACTGCCGTCCCACGGTGCCCTTTAAGCTGCTGACTCCTGCAGTCTGATCTGTCTGATGTTGTACTCGTTGGCCGTGACTGAGATTTGTTTGTTTCTCCTCTCCTTGCTCTGTAGTTTTACTTCTGAATGTAAAGCTGAGATTTACTTCAGAATGTAAGGCCAAGATTTTTTAAAATTCTAATTCAGTATTGCAGTAATCCAAATAATTTATTAATGGATGTCCTTTACAGGGGTATTCAGTTGTTAAAATCTGCCTGGAAGGTTGGCTGCACGTGAGGGTTTTGGAGGGGGGAGGTATATTGCAGCTTAGCAGCTGTGCAGTGGTGTGTTTTTCTCACCAGCACTATGGTTTCCATCCATCTAGAGTCAGCAGAAGTGGCAGTGGGCTTTGTTTGGCTGGGGTGTGTCGGTTACCTGAACGTTTAGTACTCACCCTGTGTTGTGTGATTTCCTTTCAGGTGGAACGCAGAATTCCAGAGGCAGGCGTGATAGAGTGAGTATGCAGCGGACTTAACTGCTTCCTACAGCTTGTCTGCCCTGCTCAACAGGGGGAGTTTGCTAAAAAAGCATTCCTTTTCCTCTTATAACATCCATACCTTTGAAAGAAATTTCAGTATGAAACGTGAACTTTTTTCACAAAATCACAGAATTGTAGGGGTTGGAAGGGACCTCCAGAGATCATTGGGTCCAACCCCTGAACTTTTGTCCAGAACTGAGTCAATAGTTAGGAAAATTCATATCTGTCTTAGTAGTTACTACAGCTTTGGTATAGAATGAAACAGTAGGGGATTCTTGAATAAGAACCACAAACACGTCTGCTTTGGTTAACAGTGTACATTTTCCTAGAAAACTCCCAGTGTAAACTACATTGAAAATGATGTGGTGATATATAGGTATGTAGCTGGCAACTCAAGCAGCGTTTCCTTTGAAGGTTTAGAAAAGTAGGTGTTAGTGTCATAGCAAAGCTTAGATTCTCAAGTGGTGTGGGTCACTTTCCCTTTATGTAAAAATGGCGATCTTCCCGGAGTAGAATTGGTATGAAGTGTAGCAAAGTGTGGTAGTCTGTGGTGAAGTTAAAGGCTTTCAAAATTAAATTTGCTTCAGTTTGGTTATCGTGATAGAATTTTCTTAATGAGTAGTTCCTGTGAGGCAGGTTGCAGATCCAGTTGTTCAGATACAGTGTTTGTATGCTGAGGGATCCACTTCAGGTATGATGCTTCATGAGTATCCATGCAGAGCAGACACAGTTCAGATGAGATGTTCTGCAGAGCGCTCACACTACTGGTGTGGCAGTGAGCAGTCCCTTAAGTGGAGCTACTTTTTGAGAGAGGTGTTTCTGTCAAGATTCACAAAAATATTGGTGGAAATAGCAGCTGAATTTCCCAGAAGCTCTTAGACGTTATAACAGTTATTCTCATGATTTAACTTTCCATCTCAATATGATGATACAGCCATATGTTCTTTTGTTGTGTTTGTTTGCTAGTAGCAGGAATGTAGCCTCTATGTACTAAGCAAATTCAGTGTGTTAAAACATACAGTGATGATTCACTGACCTTTGATTTGTTGTGCTTTTTTTTTTACAAATGAAGAAATAGAGAGGAATCAAAACTGAGATGCTGTTCTCATTAAGACAGTGTGCCATAGGTAGTATTGTAAGGTTTACACTCTGACTGTATGTGCGGTACAGAGGAGGTCACAAATTTCTGTTTTTTTCAACTTTCTTGAATAAAGCACAATGCAAAACAGGTTGTGATGATTTAGAGCTGGTCAACTGTTTTGACAGAGGAGCAATGCTGGACAGTGATTAACTTCTGGGATGTTTTAGGCAAAAAGGGATATAAAGTATGGAGCTAGATTTGTAGAAAAATGAGGTAGTGGCAGAAACAAGCAGCTCATTTGAGAGTAAGTAAAACTTCACAGTAGCATCGCGTGCAACAGAGGAGAAAACTGCTCTACTCCCTGTTCCTGTGGTTAAAATGTTGCTTCCATACATTTGGTTTGGTTTCTCTGTGTCTTGCAGACAGATGAATGCTTTGCTATTGGCAGGTTGATAATACCTGTCTTCTGATTGATACCTGTTTACTTTGCATCTACAGTTGAACTCATGCTCTTGGTGTAGCCATAACTGTAAGGATAATGGTCAGAGTACAGTCCTGGTGGTGTCTCCTTTCATTTCCTGGTGGGATCCCTCATTTACTTGCCTCTAGAGCTTTAAAAAACCGTGTATTGAGCCTGGACAAGAGTGGGAGTAAGGAGCAGGAAGCACGCACAAACTCATTTGTTTCTGAAGCATCCTTTGCTGCCTCATTCTGATCACCCCTTCAGAACACTTTTGCTTCCCTTAGGAACACAAACCTTGCTGTTTTTTGAAGAAAGCTCTCCTAGGACGAGCTTACAGCAGTTACAGTCTGTGCTGTTCAGGGTGAGATCCCTTATTGTTGGTTGGTCTGATGGTTTTTTCTTTTCTATCCCCAGCAAGCCCGGTGTGTATGAGCTCAGCAAAGGACCAACCGGTGTTTCTAGGTAAGTTGAGAATATGTCTTTGGAAACCTGTTCTGTGCTTTTATTGAACCATGAGGTGTTGAGGCAGCTCTTTGCAATCTGGTCTCTGCATACTTCTGGCTGTAGGAGGCGCACGTTGCCCATCATCTGCTCAGAGCACATCTGGAAGCAGTTTGCTTATCGAGCAGCAGACACTCAAGTAGTTCTGAGCAGCACCAAAGAGAAGGAGGCACCTCTAACGTCTGCTGCGTAGTATATCTAATGCTCTTGGACGAAATGTGTCTGTTTGTTTCATGTTCCAAAGTTAATGCTGCAAATTTGGGTTGGTACTGTGTGTCAGCAAGGGCACGGATGAATTGTACACAGCCAATATTGTTATTCTGTCACTGAAGTTTATATTTTCCTATGGTGTTATTGGATCACATACATCTATCAAAAGTCAATAATTAGACTTTTATATATCTTTTTAACATCTTTTGTTTGTCTTATTGTGGTGTCTCTAGAGTGATGCACGCTCATAAGAGTCAACCCCTCACAAGCAGCACTTCTCTACAGCCAAACTCAGTGGCCAGAGATTTTGAATTCTGTTAGTACAGTCAAAATATACATAAGTGTAAAAATAGGGGAAGTTAAATGCTCTCATGCCCTTGTGTTTGCAAGAGAAAGGATAGAGTTACAGTAATGATAAAGGGCTATTGTATTCTAAGTGCCATGGACATGGTGAATGAAGGGAAATTACTATCTGTGTTGATGGTAGTGCCATAATTGGAGATATCTAATTTATCAAGTGTGATAAGAATGCTGTTCTTTGCTCAGCATATGGCTGACTGTGGCTTATTGTCATCATGTTTTATAGGTTTGAAAAACAATTAGACATATTTGGTTAGAGGAAGATCCAGCAGGATCTTTGCTGACTTCTCTGCTTGTGTTATAGGCATTCTTACTTTCTTTGGGAATCCTATAAATTAGAATATTTTATCAAAGCATATATAGAAGCCTTTATTCCTTTGTTTTTTCATATGTGTTCTTCCTTAGGATTCATTTGGTTCCTGGCTTCATTGACTCGGAACAGGCAGACTGGATGTTTGAACAACTCCTCCAAGACGTACCGTGGGGTCAGAGAACTCACACCAGGCAGGGTAAGGTGTGTAGCTTGACTTTTCATCTCCATGCCATTTCTGCACCAAAATCCGCATGTTGCCTATTTTTCATTTTGTGTATTGCCTTTGCACATTGCCTTCCAGCAATTCGATGCATACCTGAAGTGTAGTGCTGCTTATTTTTCACATCTACATCACCATGTTCCTATACACAATTATATCAGATCTTTTCAAATTGAAGAGAAAGTAAAGGTGCCTTTCTATCTTAAAACCCTAAAGGATTTTCTTTTCTGTGCTGTCTCCAGCTCTTTTTCCTGTTCTTTTTTTCCTTTAAGTCTGTACTCCATTTCTTCTTACCATCTCCCACTGATGATGTGAAAACTGCATTCTTTGTGTTCTGTCATCAATGATATTTTTTTCCACTTTCACTTAAAATTCCAGCAGAGCACATTTATTTTCCCTTGTCTTTGACTTTTGGTAGCAGTACTCAGTAAGTAAGATGCTATTCTGGATTTGTTCACTAAGGGGCACCTGTTTTATCTAGATTTCTTTTCCAGTCAGGAATGGATATAAAAGAATATATTGGAGTAGTTACTGATCATGGCTGGAAAATTTCTTCAACATCTGTGTTTATTAGCTGGTAATAAAGGTACTGTATAATGGAGAATGCCACCCATCAAACATGAGAAATAGCTACCAAAGTAGTCTTTTCAGAAGCTGAAAATACCTGGCATTTATAGTACACCAAGGAATGCATGTGCATTTAACAAAAACGTGGCAGCTTGTCCAGCTTTGCTGTTTCCTGCTTCTTTAAAATCCCACTGATTTTGAAGTCCCTTCCACTTCATGCTTCCCTGTGGCTATACATTGCAGCTGAGGTCAGTGTATTGGGTACTGGAACTGGGAGAATCCAAAGCAACCTATGATTATAAATCAAATTTCAGTGTAATTTTATCTTTAATTTCACAGAATCACAGAATAGCCCAGGTTGGAAGGGACCTCAAGGATCATGAATCTCCAACCCCCCTGCCACAAGCAGGGCCACCATCCTCCCCATTTAATACTAGACCAGGCTGCCCAGGGCCCCATCCAATCTGGCCTTGAGCATCTCTAGGGACGGGGCATCCACAGCCTCTCTTTGGGCAGCCTGTTCCAGCACCTCACCACTCTCTCTGTAAAGAACTTCCCCCTTACATCCAACTTAAATCTTCCCTCCGTCAACTTAAAACCATTTCCCCTTGTCCTGCTGTTATCTACTATCTAATTTGTCCAGTTGTTGCCCTGTCTGGCACAGGGATGAGAAAACTGATGTGGTTCCAAGATTTTTGCAAGATGATCCCTTTTGCATGGGATCAAAAATGTAGCACAAGGCCGGCCTGCTCTTGAGTAATATTCCTTCTCTTGGGTTCATTATGTAAGGCTGAGGGATTTCTAAGGGGTGGCTTTTAAACTTGAGGAGGGTGGATAGTCATTCCTTTTTGATGAAGTTTCTGTGCCAGAATTGCATCTTTCTATTTTCAAGGCCTGTGATAGAGCAACTGAGAAAGCCTTCTTGTTTTTCTTTTTTCAGAAGGATCTTTTGAGGAACCACGACTTACCTCCTGGTATGGGGAACTTCCCTACACTTACTCCAGGATAACAATGCAGCCAAACCCACATGTATGTATCTGTGCACAGTTTCCTTTTTCTGTTGTCTGCAAAATAAAAGCACTGCAGAGATTGAGAGTCAAACAGTCTCTTATGTCTTCTTTTTATCTAGAACATCTATCAGAATTTCTTTGTGATCAGCATCAGGCTGTAGTGGAATGTGGACAACTATGTAAAATAAGTGTTATGAGTGGACTGGTTGAGAGAAACATGATGGAGTGACTAAAAGTTGGGAAAAGGAAATTATTTCTTTGGTTTAATTCATAGTTTGGGGCTTGGATTGCTATGTAGCTTTGGACAAAACTCCTAACTGTTCTGTGTGACTTACTCTATGCATTGTAATGTTGAAGACTGTAGCATACATGTAGCATACTGAGTTTACAGCATATGCAGTCATACTGAGTTTTTCACTGTAAAGATGTGATAATATCAACTACTGAAATATTTGCATTTAGAAACACTTCAATTCAATACAGCTGAAATGAGAATGTAGGCATGTTGTTGATTCTTATGTGAACATTATGAAATTCAGTACATCGTGTGTCTGCTCAGCAGCTTCAGATTGTTCATAATTTCCCATGCTATTTTGGAATGGTCAGAAACCTCCCAAGTGACGTGTTGATGTTTTGTTCCTGTTCAGTTACTCTCTGACTTCCAGCATGTTGTCCTATCAGCTTATTTCCTGGTATTGCTTTGCTTTACAGTTCCGAGACACTAGTCTGTTGTGTTCTGAACCATAAATTGTGACTATTGAAGGCTGTATGGCATGCAGAAAGAGTCCTGAGTCCCAGAACTGCTGCTGGGGGGAACATTTCCCCAGCGAAGCTCAGTTTGAGAGCAGGAAAGTGTTACTTAACAAGATGAGCTATAAAGATTTTGTAGTCTGAGAAATTCCATAGTTAGAAGCCTGTGGAATTTGTGGTGGGATAGGAGGCATTTTTTGTGCTTACTCACTGCACATTATTTTAATTGGACTCTTCTAGAAGCAGAATGACTTTAGGGTTTTGAAGTGCATTAACAAAATCATTCTGTTATATGCTAATGATTTAAATCTAGTTCAGAGTTGCCTGTTGTGGAAGCTGTTGCTGCTTAGAGGTTAGATAGAGCCCATGTGCCCTGAAGTTCACTGTTTCTGTCTCATTTATCTGAAGCTGAGAATTAGCACTCATTGGAACACTGATTAGTTTTTTTTTTATCCCGGAGATGCAAAGACCAAATAAGTCATACATGCTGACCTGATCTTTTATCCCTGAATCACTCTCCTTTTTACTGGGAAAAGGAAGGTGATGTGCACCAGCAAATTTACTTAGCTGGCAACCAGCCCTGCCGCTGTCTGGAAACTGCCCATGGGAACTGCCCATAGACAGGTATGTGGGTAGACTGCACGTGGTCACTCTGACATCTTACTCAGCTTTGTAGGTGGAAGTTCCTGCAGCCTGAAGAAGCTGTGGATGGTGTAAAGAGCACTGCTCTTACCTGTGGAATAGCATTTATGGCACAGAAATATCCTGAGTGTAGGCAAATGTAGTTTGATATGCAGCGTGGCCAAAGCCAGTTACCTGCCTTGATCTTTTGATCCACAGGAGTAATTGGTTTTGTGCCCCTCCTTCTTTGTTTGGTAAGGCTGAGTGTGATGGCAGCACTGCCAAGTGCTTAAGTGAATTTTGGTATTTGGGGAACAATTCTTTATAAGCATAGATGTAGTTAGAGAAGCAGTAATGTTTCATAATAGCATGACTTCCACAGCTGCTGGTTTGTAGTGAAGTTTCCACTGAAATGTAAAATTGACTATATAACATTTTCACCCATACCAATTTTGTGGTAGAAATTGAAGGAACCCGGTGCAGTCTGTTTCTTTTAGTGACCCTGCAGGGTCACTAAAAAGTGCTTTCAGTAATTCTCATTGCTTTCTTCTGTCATTGCATTGCATGTTCACTGCATACTGCAGCTCTTGAGATCCAGTGGTTTTCCTTCAGGCAACTCAACCAAGTACAAGCTGTAGCATTTTTGGCATCTGCTACTGATTTCCCTATGTATCTCTTAGCTACAAGCTATGTTCAAGTATAGTTAATTATTCATAGGATGCTTAGTCACTGTAGGGGTGACTTTGCTAGAAAAACCCCAAACAGAAAGATGACATGTTGAAGGTTCCTGCAGTGTAGCCAAGGTTAAAAACCCCCAAATGTGGGGGAACATGGAAGGAAGGTGGTTCATACCTGATTATTTGAGGTTGGTACTGGGAATTAATTCTGTCTGCCTGTTCTTCCTCCTTCCAGTGTTCACCCAGAGGTTTGGAATCAGTTCTTTGTCCTCTCTTGATCTGCTTATGTAATGGGCAAAGATTCTGGCCTACATTGCTTTGAGCCTTTTTTTCTTTTAGCTTATATCGTGCTTAAAAGCACTCTGACAGACGAAAGCCATGATGTAAGTTTATAACATTGAGTAATGATTCAATGGACTGAGTTGTAATGGAATGTGCATAGCTGCCATAGGCTATGGGCACAGTAAGATCTCAGCAAAGGAAAGGCTGAAATTCAGGGCCCGTGATACTCATTTTGTGAACCACTGAAAAGTTACAGTGCTGAAATCAGAACCCCAAGAGAAGACGAGCTGGGCTCAGCAAGCTGTGCCAATAGACCTGGGAACAGAGGGCTGTGCCGTGCCAGTGTTTGGCCAACTGTTGTCTCTGGATCTTTGTCAGCTGCGGGGAGCTGAGTGTCATTTAGTCACCAAGTCCAACTTTTTCTTTTTTTCTAGCAGTGGTTCAGTCAGTCAGATGCTGTCAGACCCATATGTTAAACTATTCTGACTTGGACAGGAAATTTAAAAAAGAGAGGCATGCATGGGAGAGGTTGTCTAGCTTTTGTTTTAGTTCAGAACTGTTACTGTTTGCTCATGGTCAGATTAAACAAGTTTTACTCTATTGACTTTCTCACCTTTCAGTTAATTGAGGCGGCTGCCAACATCAGTGTGAAAAGCAGACTGGCTTCGTATTTTTGATTTAGTACTGAGCCATAGGTAACATAAGCATGTTTTGCAGAAAGCTCATTCCTCAGCTTTGCAAAAATTTCAGTGAGATTTGTGCAGAGGCATTTGTTCAGCTTCAAGTTTATTGTGGTGAAAGTGCACTGTGTTTTGTTTCTTATCCAAGATAGTTTTTCTCTTGTGTCTAATGCTATTGTTTGCCTGCTTTCATTGTGCCAATTGCAGTGGCATCCTGTGCTGACCATGCTAAAGGAGCACATAGAGGAGTTCACTGGCCATACCTTCAACTCCCTTCTCTGCAACCTGTACCGAAATGAGAAGGATAGTGTGGACTGGCACAGTGATGATGAGCCATCGCTGGGAAAAAATCCCGTCATTGCCTCGCTCAGCTTTGGTGCTACCCGGATCTTTGAGATGAGGAAGAAACCTTCCCCTGTGAGTACGCTCAACAGTGTCATATCTTCAGTACTTTCCCTCTGTTTATATAATTTAATAACTGGAAACATTTAGTAACGTTAGTAATTAGTGAAAACGCGTTCATAAAGTTCTGTGGAATAAGTATAGGAAGCAAAAAGTCCATTGCATGGAATGTGACATTTTCAAGGTGGAATGGAATGGCTCTGAAATAATGCACAGCAGTGTAATTGCAGCCTGGCTATTGTTTTGCCATAAGCAGGTCCTTTCCCATTCCTTGTCATCAGTAATGTTAGAAGGGTGATTTCACTGTGTAAATGAACCATAGATTTGATACCATTTTGTTAAACTCCTTTAAGCATTGTGTAATTCATAGTATGTGTGGGATGCAGAATAGCTCTGACTGCTCTTGTAAGTAAAAAACCCCTTCGCATTGTTTGCATTCTGGCTTGTGTATGTTCAGGTTGAGAGACAGTGAACAGCAGGAAGGAACTGCTCATTTCTTTCCCCTAAAATACCAAACTCTGGTATCACACTTCACAGAATAAACAGGGATCATTACTTGGATGGGAAGCATGTGTGGAACATCCTCTCAGGGGTTAGTTGCTGCTTCTGTAAGGAATACTTTTTCTAGATAAAATGCTTTGTTACAGGTTAGAGCTTTCTTACTGCTTCACACTCCAATTCTGCAGTGCGTGTTGATTGAAGTAAAGGAATCACACATTTCCTTGTTGAGAACTCAAGCCTTACTTTAGGGTATCTTGCTTCAGAGGTCTTTTCTGCATGTCTTCTTTTATGTGGCAGTATGCTTGCAGTGAGGTTTTGTCAGAATAATTATTATTTTTTAAATATATGTGTATGTAGTCTGGAAAGTACTTTGGATCTTGGGGAAGAAGTTTGCTAACTATTTATGTCATTATTAATTCTGAATAAACTGAATAAAGTTCAAAAAGCAGAGGTGGAGATGATCAATGTGTAGGAAAACTGTGCGCTGAGGTACTGAAATCTGCCTCTCATGGGTCACCCAGCTGTGAACAGAACAGATCAGAATTTCAATTGGAAAACTAAGTAACTTGTATTCTTCACCAGTTCTCTAGTTTGTAGATCCCGTATTGTGTGAAAGGAGTTTAATCCAGTGGTCCTTGAGCAGGAGATCACATAACCAGTGCACTGTATCACTGGGCATAGCATGAGGAAGTGTCTTGGATGCTGCGATGTTAACAAAATGTCAGCTGGCAAGTTCATTCTTCTAGGAAGCTGTAAATAGTGCTTGAGTTCGTTTCTAGATTGCATGTGTTCCCTTTCAATGGATCAGAATCGAAGCCACCTAGATTTCAGTATAAACTCTGCAATTTCTGCTTAAAAACTAGGCGCAGTTCTTAGGCGAGATGTCTATTTGTTTCATTTTCTATTTTTTCAAAAAACATCCACTATGAGTAAAGGGGGAATTCAATCTATGCCATTCGTAATTGACCAGCTTCTTTGGTCTGTAATATGTAGCTTTTTCCTTTCTTCTTCCTGAGCTGGATCATTTTCCATACGTGTATCCATCAGGTCTCCTCATTTTTTTTTTCTTTAGTGTCTCTGATCTGCTCTGAGTAACTCAGTCTTGTTATATACGAAGTATTCCTTTTGCAATTGTGACATACCTGTTTCTAAAGTACGATGCCCACGTGCAGAGTGATGTTTGAACACGTTGCTATTAGCTGTATATCCTGTGCCTAAGGGAATTTGTACTTAAATTATATGTCATGTTATGTATTCTTTGCGTGTTCCAAAAGCCTGCAATTTTCTGAGCATCCTATGGCATGAGGTGCTCTGCCAAGTGGGAGTTGCTAGAGTCCCTGATGGAAATTACCACCTTTCAGGCTGTACCAGCAAAGAAGTAATTTTTGTGCTCTATTGTAATGTAGCATTCTTACTTTCATTAAGAGAAAGTTAAAGTCAATTGCAGACAATTGAAGTTTGATCATTGCTTCGTTCAAAAGCAAATTATATGAGTAGGGATGTAGTCTAGGGAAGGGTGAATCTGCACTAGCAGTCATCGCAGGCATTTCAGGCTCTTATCTGGCTTGAGATCTGCCATTATTTGTACATCAGATTTTCTGGAGGCAGCCTCCTCTGGGGAGGCAAAGTGGAAGTAATTCCTTTTTGTCCCCATGTTATAGTCTTTGAGGGCCAGCATTCTAGTAATGTTGACCTTAGCATTTCAAAGGCCATCATTTCTCTCTGTTCAGGTAAGTGCTTTTAAGTATTCTGAGATGGAAGACATCATGAAAATACAGGGTGAGAAGTACTGTGGTAGAAGCTCGCTGTGGTAAGTGATTCTGGAAAAAGAGTAAAAGCAATTGCTGTTGTGTGATTGTGTACCAGGTACAAAACAGCATGTACCAGAAGTCAGTAACACCTTGAACTGCCATTGGGGAACAACAAAACAGGGCCTTTGGAGACTTTGCTTTGTATTAGAGTGCATCTGTACAAGCACATTTCATCCTGTAACATCGATGGACTTACTAGAGAACAAAAACCTATTTCTCTAAGTCACCTATGGAAAAGACAAGTCACGTTGGTGTTTGTTTGAGGGTGGTTGTTTTTTGTATTTGCTGTTATTGCGTGTTTGTGTGAGATTTTTACATGAGCACTGTAGAGATTTGATGGGGTTTACATAGGCCACTCTGAAGCTGCCACAAAAGGAAATCTTTATGTCCTTTGAGGTGAGGTGGGGTGGGGTGGAAGGGGGCAGCTGTTTAGCTTCAGGTGTTATTATTTTCTATTTGAAAATGATTTCAGAGCGGGGTTAAGGAAAGGTCCAGTCCTCTGTTTTTTTCCTTTCTGGTGATGCTGTACTGGATGAATAAGTGCTCACCGTGTAATACGTGGGAAAGGAGTGCAGAGAGGCATGCAGAGCCTGCCTGTATCCACATCTTCTCCCTTCTGAGTAAGTAGAAGATAATTCCTACTCAGATTTCAGCCCAGCACATGTAGAAGGAGAAAAGCCTCATCTGTTTTTTGGAAGCAAATATCTCACTAGAGTTGCTATAGGGACTTTTCATGGAAATTAACACGATGCTCCAGCAGCCCCGTGTGCCCACAGCTGAGGGCACAGAGGCCTGGGCTGAGTCACTGCCGGCCGTGGGCCTTGGTAACCATGGCAACTGGTGGGTGCTGGGGACTGGAGGGAGTTCTGTGCATGTTAGGTAACAGCGAGGTGTGTGTGGCATTCTGAGAACCTGCCTTCACATGGGTCTGTCCTTCACGTGAAACGCTGAGATAAGGTCCTGCTGCCCTTGCGTAGCTGTTCTAGTGGAAGTCAGCTACTTTAGTAAACAGCAGAAAAATAACCCTTGGTGACATCACGGCCTTCATTGAAGACTGACATGGGAGTGTATGGAGCACAGTAAAAACCAAGGCTTGGATTTTTGGATTAGGATGGGTGGATTGGCAGGAAGGAGACTTGTGGGCAACAGCAGCTTAGAGGAGCCCTGCTGGTATTGGCAGGGCTTGAGCAGCTATAGACAAGTAGAGAGGAAGAGGCAATTACTTCAGGCTGCCGCAATTGCAGAAAGCGAGGTCAGCAGCAGGAGTTTAAAGATAGTCCTGTGTAGGAGGGCAGGGGGATTACATGAGGAAACAGCAATAGCACTGATGCTCTTTCTCACTGAATCCACAAAAGAGCTGCATTGAGGACGTCATCAAGGTGGTGAGAATAAACAGGCAGAAATGCAAAATGATTGATCCATAGATTGCTCTGAAAGTAATGCCTTCTGTTCGTTTCCGTGGAAACTACAACAGATACAAAAAGCGTAACAACACTGTTTGATAGAGTAAAATCTCAGCTACAAAACACTGTTTTTCAACAGTCACCACTCTTAGCTGGGCATTTTCACCAGCAATGAACAATGAACGCTCATAATGGTCTGCACCAGCAGAGATGGCCCACTGCCACCACAGCTGAAATGCACCACACACTGCCGTCTGCCACGTGGCAGCAAAATGTAATGGGATATTGGTGGAAAGGTTCAACCTCTGCTGTGATCCGCCTCTGACATCGTGGGCCAACATAATACCATAGGAGGCATTACTTTCGGAGCAGCCCTCATAGATGAGCCCAGTTTGTTGTGGAGATACAAATGGAGCTTCCACAATTGGTGGTAGAGGAGGAAACTGGAAAAGAGGGATGGGAATCTGAAATAGAAAAGATTTGAAGTTTATAAAGATAATTATCATGCTCAAGATAATAGGAAAAGCAGAAGTCCAGGAGTCAGCACTCTGGCTTCCAGATCTTTTCTCTATCTTACCTTTTTGATTTTGTAATTGCTGCTTTTACATATTGGTTTTTCTAAGCCAAAAGAATGTTTTCTCCTGAATTTTAATCTTAAAAGATTAATTTTAATTATGATCAGCAGACAAAAGACGTTAAAAATAAGTCCACTGTTGCCCTTTCACAAAGCGAAATGGTGCAATCCTGTGAAATGAAAAAGCAGCCATGCAATGGTATTTCACTGCTTTTCATCAGCAGACATGTTTATGATGTCTGTTCTTGAAATTCTTTCCTTGTTTCCCCAGATGTTTAAGAAAAAAAAAAGGCATTGTGCAGTACTCCTAATAGAGTGAGATAAATGCCTAATAAATCCAGAAGCTCGAAAATATATTTTGCAAATGGACATTGTCCTTCTGAAAAAGAAAATACTGCAAGTGGTTTTCAGTGCCCTCAGCACTCCCTGATGTTGGAGGTTTAATGAGCGTAACTAAGTGCTGGAACAGCCTCAGGCCTGCGGGTATCACCAAGAAAGGCACAAGCATGGAGCTGCCAGCCAGCGCTGCCCCTTGCACCAGCAGTAGTGAATAACCACGTTCTGTCACACTGAGCCTAACTTCCAGTCCTAGGCATGAACAGGAAGTTGCAAAATCAGTTATGTCAAACAGTGCTTTTTGTTACTGGGATTTGAGTTTACCTCAATCAAGGTTTTTTTTGCATGAAGAAAAAAATGATTTAGTGATTTGGAAAAAAAGCCCGTGTTTCTGCTTCCAGAGATGCAGTAGTGCACAAATTTTCTCCTCCCTCTCCCTGTATTTTGAAAGCAATTTTCTATCTGAAACCTCTGAATTCCTCATTTCAGAGAGTTGCTTTCCAGTCTTCCTAAGCAGCTTTCTAAATTGGCAGCAGACATCTATAGTGTGCCAACTATGTACTTAGATTCTGTATAGGGGCAAAAATAGTGTTTTTCCTACTCAGTACTTTAATACAAATGAGTAATTAAAGTGCCAGGGGTAATAGGCAAGATGCTGAATAGAAGTTGCTTAAGGTTTGTAGCAGATTTTTGCAACCGTTGAAGGCTAATACCAGAAAATACTCGAAGAGTACATGGAGTGTTGTACCTGCCTGTGTGGCATTCTGTGAGGCAGTTGGTGTCAGGTACAGTGTGGTTTCACGAGGAAGTAACTGTGGTGATTGACTAAGACAAGTGTGTTAGTGTAATTGGCTTCCCTGAGCGATGTGCCAATGGCACTGCGTTGGTCTGATGCGGAATTGGAAATGAGGAGTTCGTGTTCTGAAATGATGTCATGTGTGTCAGACCAAGGCTGTGGTGCTGCTTCATTTAGTTGAAGAGTTCATGCTTTAAAACTGTCGTATGTCATCTGAGAGCTCAGTAGAAGTCTTGCGATTTGATGGATGTCTTCTAGTTTAGCAATCTGTTTTACTTAATGATAATGAAGTTTTAAGGAACTTGTTTTACAAACTACTACAGGAAAAAGATTTTTTTTAATAGGAAAGAACTCTTCATGTAACAGATAGCACTATACCAACAAGTACCGTCTGGAATCAGAAACGGGACCAATTCAGAATAAAAGGAAGATGTTCATTTTTGATGAAGTAGTTAACCATTGGCATCGCCGTTATGGTTGCAGAATGTTTCCACACAGAACTGTTTAATTCATGTGGATGTCTCCAAAAGAGTCACAGCCTCTCTCCAGGATTTTGCACTGGATGTAGGAAGCAGCTGTTGAACTGTGTTGTACAGACAGTGAGATGTAATATGGCTTTCTTTCATCCTTAAAATGCTCAGCTCCTGAACTCTCTATGAAATATGGTTGCAGAGAAGTTTAGTTAGACTTCCTGATCCTGTAAGAGCTCCCTTTCTTCCTCCCATGTCTCTGTTTTTTAAACTCTGCTACGGAGGTCTGGTTTTCTGCCAAATGCACTTGTCTACTTCAGTGTCCACTGTTTCTTTTTAGGAAGAGAATGGAGACTATACTTATGTAGAGAGACTAAGAATCCCGCTTGATCACGGGACTCTGCTGATGATGGAAGGAGCTACCCAGGAGGACTGGCAGGTAAGAATTCATTGGCACTGCTCAGTGCGCTTTACTTCCAGTGCAGTTCTCTAAATATGTGCAGGGCATTCCCATAAAGATATGGAATATGTTTTCTACTGGAACAAATATTTCAGTATGTGCTAATATTACTTCAGAATTTCAAAGCATCCCCCTAAAAAGTTATGGGTTTTTACTCAGCTGCTAAGTGATAATAAGAACTGTCTCACATGTAGGTGTTCATTGTGTTCATCCTCAGTGAAAGTTACAGCCTGCAGCTGAAAGAGTAAAATCAATTTAGGAACTTAGAATATAAAAAAGAATGGCAGTTTAGTTTAATAAGCCCACAGTAATCTGCAAAGACCTTTATTTTTTTTCTCAGTGGCTCTGAGTGGTCGGAATATGGATATCTTGTCTTTCTGGAACGTTTAGAAAAGTAAATAAAAAGCCTCACAGAATATTAAAATTCTTTACATTGATTACCTGTATTTTAGATGCACAAGCTCATGGATGTTTGTTTGTTTTCCCATAATGCTGCTCACAGCATCGAGTACCTAAGGAGTACCATTCCAGAGACGCACGTATAAACTTGACCTTTAGGATCATTTATCCGGAACCTGATCGAGTTTGGAAGTGAAGAGGCACTTTGGGCATTGTTGAATATAAACCGCAGAAGATCAAGAGCCTCAGATTCAAAAGAAGCCTACAGGAAGGAGTTCTGAGAAATGTCTGATGGGGAAGAGAACTGATGTCATGAAGATCTTTGACAACCAGAAGTTACCTGTTATGCAAGCTGTGCTGTTTTGTTTTCAGAAGTGGTGTGCTTTCAGGTGATATTAAATCATACACTTGGTTTGCAAAAGAATAATTATTCTTAAAAGAACATGGAAGCTCTGAGAGGTGCTGACCAGAGCAGTCAGCAGCTCAGAATTGGCTCTAGGTTGCTGTACTGGAGTTTGCCTGGCCTTCCTGTTGTTAGGAACCAGTAAGCTGGTGATTGCTTACCTCGATGTTAAGCCAGGTACACTCTGTGCATGGTTCTTGCTGCAGCTGAATGGAACCCTCTGTACTGAACTAGAACATTGGTTTGGTGTGTCTTCATGTTCTGTTTCAAGTAGGATCCAAGCATGGGTAAATACTCAATGCTGTGTAACATATTAGAAAACCTCTTCAATGCAAGAGTAAGTTGGTGTTAGGAAGATGTGTCTTCTCTTAGCCAACGCTTTCTGTAGTTTCAATTTGTTACTTGACAGGAGTTGTCAGATTGTCAGTATTCAGTTATGCCCAAATGTTAAGGTGTCGATGACCTACAGGACAGGCTGTTGAGCTCTTTAATTCCCTGTGTATCAGCCAAATTTGTTAGCAACTTCTTTATCTAAATTACCAAACAGCTTTAGACATAGCTTATTCTTCTGAAAGGAATGAATGTTGTTAGAAAATCTTCTTCATTATCTAATAATGTCTCCTCTTTCATCCCAGTTCCTACAGAAATATGTTTTTGGAAATATATTTTCAATTTGATGTAAATTCCTTCAGTTTGAATCTAAGTTCTAGGCTCTGTGATGCACCTCCTGAGAATGAGCATTGAAGCAGGCGGCCATTTCCTTTAATGTTTATTTTGTTCAGGTAACTGATATTTTGTTTATTACTCCATATGCATGCCCGGTTTTGGCAGTTCTTACAGAGAGTGTTTTTCCTTAACCAAGGAGCTCTGCAGACTTCTCCAGGTATTCTGACAAGGCAACATTTTAGCATCTGTCAGCTCAGACAAGCTACATTTGTTCGCACTGTGTTACCTGTAGTCATGCTGCTAGAGCAAACAGGAGGTGACGACTACTGGGAACCTTTAAATCCCTAAACTTCAGCCTATGGAAATGGCAAGTTTGAATTCACTGAAGCCGTGATGCGTGACTGATGGCAGGGCTATGCTGAGGAAAAACAGTTTTTTGCTTACTTTCTCAGCTTCAATTTATAATGTTAGCAAATTGTGGTTTAGTTGATTTGCTCTGAGCTGTGAGAAGACAAAGGTTTGCCCCAAAATAAAACAATTTACAAGAGAATTGCCGTATTCCGTATTTCTCTTCTGGAGCGATGTCGTTTTATTGCTTCTGTCCCCCCTGTGCTGCTCTCTTTCCACGCCAGTGGCAGTGGGAAGAAGGCGTGTGGCATCCTTCCTCTCCTGTCCTGCAAGGGGAACAGTTGGCATAGAGGTCAGGTTTCTTCACGCCAGATGGGGTGTTGGGTGTTGTGGGTCCTTCCTTCCTCCCCCCCACCTCCTCCCAAAATGTCCCCTAGCCAGGTGGCAGCAGATTGCAGCCTCCTGCCTGCCGGAACAGCAGGAAATGGCTTAGAGCAGAGGAGATTTCAGCCCACATCTCCTCAGGAGGTCTTTCTGCAGGGACATTTTCTTTGTAGAGATTTGTTCCTTAATGCTGCGAGCACTCTTGTGGTTCTCAAAGTGGACGTGTGCAGAAGTAGCATTTAAAAGGTTCCTGCTTCTGGTGTTGTTTTGTGACACCAAAAGGCTTGATTTTTGTTGGGAAATCAGCCAGCCTGAAAATTTCAGGCGGTGCATTTGGGTGTTTCTGCTGTTGGAATCATGTGCACAGTGTGATGATGTTCATTTAAGATGGTAAATGTGTAGAGTGTGCAACTTATAGATAGCTGGAGGAACTTTTTCCCTCGTTATGTGGATTTGAAAACAGTGCCTCTGAAAGCACTATCCAGAGGTTTATTTTCCAGTCACGAGGCTTTACTTCCTTCCTAGAATTGTTTTGACAGTACAGCATTCCCAGCCAAAAGCTTATTGAAAAAGTTTTAAACTCAGAATTCATGACAGTAATTTAAAGTAGAATGTATTGCAGGGCTGTTGGGTTTATCCAAAACCAAATGTTTTTACATACACAAAGGATTCAGAGAGGGAATTTTTCCTGGGCAGTTTTGTTTTTGCTGTTCTCACCAGAATCCACTACCAGTGGAGCAGATGTAAGGAGCCACTTTGCCTACACAGCACTTTTGGATTTTATTTTCCTCATTTCTCCATATTCTTGCCATCTCTCCCAAACTGCCTTTCATAGCCATTTGCTGTCCCAATCCCACTGCTTTTTTGTTATTTGTTCATGTTTATCTCTAGGTGTTTCTCATACGCTCCCTGCAGCAGGTGTGTGATGTAGCAGGTATCAACTGCACTTTTACTTTTTTCCTGTTTCCTCATTGTGAAGTGTTATTTTTCAGCAGAGTATGAGTGTCTTTTCCATGAAAAGCTGAAAAATTGCATTCCTCAAAACTGTTCATTGCCTGTGGTTTTCCAGCAGATTGCCTTTTCCAAGTAAATGTCACGTTTTCCAAAATACAACTCTCAGGCTTGATGGTAAGGAGTAGATGAATAGAAGCTGTCTTTGGTAAGGATGGAGGGTTGTCTTTTGCCCCTAGAGAATATGCAGAATGGAGCTGTTCTTAACAAAGAAACAGCAAACAGCAAACAAAAACAAACCAGCTAAACAAAACAACCTCCTTGTGACTGGTGCACAGGGTTGTTCCATCAATAATATATAACCCTTTGTTCATTTAACACATACATAAGCAATAGCATTATTAATAAACCACAGTGCTATCAGGAATCTGTGTCACCCCACTACTTGCAGTAACCATCTAATCATGGGATACTTGAACATTCAAGCATAAGCTCTTGATGAGGCTGGAGTACAGCTGATTAAATACTGTGCTGTTTGGCCATACCTGCTTGATCTGAGTATGTTCTGTTTAAAAACAGCAAAGTTCACCATTTCTTTCAGGGAAAAAAAATACTACGTTTTACAGTTTTCAGTGACTTTAAAGCAATCCATAATTTTATTTCTCCTGCATCAGATTAATTCTAGCTATATATATTCTACTCATCGTGACTGATGGGTTGAGTTACCTGAAATCTGCTTCTGTCAGTAGCAATATAGAGAGAGATGGGGTGCCAGGAAGGGGTTAAGGAGCCAGAAGGATCATACTGCAGCACTGGCTGAGTGCAGAAGATTGTTCTCCTGGGGAGTTCAGATAGGAGCCCTGGGATGGGTGCTGCAAATCCATAATGCCTCCTTGTCAAGCACTGCTGCTATTGACTTAGCTAAAAAGCATTTAACACCCGCTTTGCCTTTTCTGGTCATAAACATTTTCAGATTAGATATGAAATCTGCCTCACTCTGTTTTGTTTTTGAAGTGCTTCTTGTAAATGCTCAAGGTTTCCATAGCAACTGGTGCCATTTGTTTAAACTGGAGCTCACCGGCCTGTCCTCCTGCACCTCACTGCTGCTGGGATCCTGCAGCTATCACTCATTTTCTTGGCATGCCTGGGAGTGACTTGTGAGTACTGCGTAGTGGCTCACCAGCAGGTCTCTGTAAAAACCCTTTCCAGAGGGCCATCGCTCAGTAGGATGACAGATGTGGGCTTCCTCGCTTGCTGACCTGTTTGATTTACCTCCTCTTCCTGTGCACCATTCTGTGCAGCTTTAGATTGCTGTGTGATCTCCCTGGGAGAGCAGCACCCAAGCTGGCTGGCAGCTCTCTGGCTGCCCACACAATGAGGGATGTGTCTCTGTACGGCCAGAAGATGGGTTTGGTGCATCTTTCCTTTGCTTTAAGTGACGGAAGTGGGGAGTAAATTGAAGGCTGTTACCAGAAAACAGCATGGAGGTCTGTCACACAGGGCTGCCACTTGCTTAGGTTCCCCAAGAGGAACAGAGCCACCTTGTACTTCAACTGCTCAGGAGGGTTTTCTATGGCTGAGCAAGACTTCAGGGATCACCCAGCCAGATGGTACTCAACCAAAAGCAATTCCTGCCTGTGCAACACGAGCCGGTGTTTTTATCCTTAGGAATTGAGTTGATTTTTGTCTTAATTACTTACAAACAGGCCTAAAAGGAGAGGGGAGAGGAAAGGGCAAGTTTGTTCTCATAAATTACGTGGGTTCTCTGCAGTGACTGTAGCCACAGAAGGAACTGGGAGTTGATAGTTGGAATGTTGGGATCCCACCTGTGGCTCCAGCTTAGGGTTTATAACCTGAAGCGTTTAAAACATGAGAGAAGCAGCAGACCCCCCCAGATATCAGCTCCTGTTGTGGAGCTGTGCTCCCATCGCTTATCCCCGCATACCGTGTGCTGCTGCGTCTGCGGCAGTGCTGGAGGAGCTGCAGCCTGCCCTGACCCCATCAGCCCAGAGGAAACTCGCATAGCAGTTTCCGTGAGGGAACATTTTGCAGCTCTTTTTGAAAACAATGAGCTCTGTTACCCCATTAATTAGAAGTAGTGTGATGACAGCCAAACGCTGTTATCCTGTGGCTGCTACTGAAGTACTGGCTTCATTTCAGCTATGGCTTTATAACTAAAATAATTCAAAGCAAAGAATAACACGGTGTATTTCTGTGAGGAGCATTAATGCATTCAAACTTTCTGGTCTCCATTGTCCAATGGGTAGAAAGAAGCATTACAAGTTATGGTGGCACAAAGCACTTGGGAAGTCAGGCCAGGCTGCAGGCTGGCTGAGGGAGCAGCAGGGTCAGTGCAGTAGGGCTCAGCACAGCCAGGGTGCTGCTGCCTGCTTGCCACAGATGGCGGTGGCTGTGCACCTCCAGCAGACCGGCTCTGATCAGGCTTCCAATGGGCCTTGTGCAGCCTGCACGCCCCGTCAGAGAGGTGCAGATTCCCACAGCACCGGGCCCTGTGCACATGGATGACCTCAGCTCTGCACTATGTGAGACAGAACCCCGCCTTCATGGGAGCCCCCTGGCAGCAGGCTCTGCCATCCTGGTGGTGAGGTCGCATTTCAGCACCAGGAGCACCCAGATTAAAGGCATGATTTAAGCTGCCGGAATAAATATAGTTGTTACATTAGCGCATTGCAGGCCTAACTTGGGGGATTATGTCACAGGATATTTTTTTCTGAATTGTCTCAACTAAAAACTTAAGGCTTCCTGGTTATTGCCATGGTGATGTTGCTCCAACTCAACACTGAAATTTCCCGGAACTGTTTATAATCCCGCCTGCTCAGGTACCTGAAAGGAAACTTCTGCGTTTGTGCTGAACAGACTTGGGGCAGTTGGGGCTGGGGCTGCTAGTGCTGAATTTCTCAGCAAGGCCTGGGATCCTCTGGTGCCGAGGCCATTGCTAGCACAGATGCATTCACCGGGGTTGGTGTGGGTGTGAGGTGTTCTGCCCCACCACCAGCACATCTGGGTTGCTGCAGGGAAAAGCTCAACCCCAGACAACCCTGGACGATGGCCCTGTCCCTGATATGGTTGTGATGGCAGAGCTGAGATCCAGGGATGGGCTTACTGTAAGCCCTTGTCATGCACTTTGGGCTCAGGGGATACATTTAGCCACTGAGATCAACCAAAAGCTTGTTCTCTTATTAAGTTAATTGTATCTCCCAGTACAAAGGCTTCAGACTAAGCCTGGCCTTGAGGCTGCTGCAAGCAGCCAAGGAGCTGCATACTTGCAGCCAGATGCCTCCTCACACCAAGGTTGGAGCGTTGCCTTAGCACTGGCATTGCTGCCCCATGCTGCCCATACTTCACTCTCAGCTCCATGTTCTGGGTCCAGGCTGCAGCGGGACTGCCCTTGCTCAGCTCCTTACCAGGCCTCAGCAATATTCTGTGTGGGTGAAGTTGCCAGAGGGTGTCTTAGTGGACTATTCTCACATTGGCCCTGCATAGGGAATAGCTGAGCCACATCAGGCTCTACCTCCCTCCTGCTTTCCTTCTCTGCTTCCACCTAGCTCTGTCTCCATCACTGCCCTGTGCTACCTTATGCTGCTGGCTTATTCTGTAACCGAGCCCCCTTGGCCTGAGCGGCTCCAAGGTGTGGTTGCAGCCTCTGTTCCTTTGCAGGCTTTTGTTTCGGCTCAGTGCTACGTGTATGCCATTTCTTGTCTGTGGCTCTGTTTGCGCATCACCAGTGTGGCCGAGAGTGCGGGGAATGGAGAATTTTAGGATCCCTCGGATAAGCGGACATGGGGTCAGCTGAAGCAGGTACTTAACCCTGTTTAAAGGTATCAAAAGGGGCAGAAGTGAGAGGAGATCTGCGAGTCGGTCGTGG